GCTAGCCATGATCCCAGCATTTTGTCTAAAACTAATCGTTCAGAGGACTATCATGCCCTCTGGACTGATAATACCTTTGTAAAAGACATGGCTCAATTGTCAAAGATTTTGAATTATACTAATTGTTGGATTTGTATGCACATTCCTCCACAGGCTCGACGCTCTGGTTTCGTCATTTATTGCTAATAGGCTTAGGATTGGTTATAGGATTTGTGTGTATTTGTTGTTGCATACAATGTGTTCCCTCGCTGATCACCCAATGTATGGGGTGGTGGTCTTCGCAACGCACTTCCTTAGGTGTCCCCCGCCGAGAATATGTTGCCAGATACACGCGCTTTCGCAATGAAATTTATGACTCTGATTAAATAATATAAAAAAGGAGGGCATGTGGGGATGCAATAGAAAAATAGCACCCTTGTGCAAGATTGTGCAAGAGGAAGCATCTGCTGACTTGTTTCCCCCACACGCCTGGGTCACTGTCGCTGCCTAACCACAAAGCTTACGCGGCTGTCATGCTGTCTGGAGTTATGTCCTGGTAGAGAATAGTTATTCTAAGAAATGCAAACCCTAGCTGTTTTCCACCCGAGTGCTACACGTGTATATGCAACATGATGTAATGTGCGCAAGGCTAATAAACATGCAAGGCTGCTGGGAGAGAGAGCTCACTCCTTGCTTAAACCTTCACCCATGACTCCTCGTCATTTTCCTCCGCACCTGGTGGGCTGGTTCCCCGACAAATGGGTCTCCTAAATAAATAAATAAAGTTTGAAACTGCTGCTCTATTTTAACCACTGTCAAGAAGCTATATAAATTGCCAGCCTCATCTGGCTTGACAGCTGCCATATTTTGAGCACACCACATTTTTTGTTTTTGTTTGGTGGGGGGTGACCAACTAGACTGTAAAGTTTTGCCTGCAATTCTGCGAATACAATTGAAGGCGAAAACCCGGTGACACCTGTCACCAATAAGGCATCTGGGCAGCAAAATCCTGTTTGTGCTCATGTATTATTCTTCTGGCACAACTACACGTCAAAACTTCTGCCCCAATTAGGGGCTTGGAGACCAGGTCAAATTCCTCCAGGACGTATTCCCTGGACACTTCTGACCTCAAAAATGCAGACCTCAAAAACTACTTTAAGAGCAGGGGTTGGGAAGCAATCGCCCTCCAGATGTGGCTGAATGAAAACTCCCAGCATTCCTGGCCATCAGCCACAATGGCTGGGGTCCTGATGAGACTTGGAGACTAGCAAGAGCCAAGGTGGGCACAGGTTCCCCTATCCTGAGCAGTAACTGGCAATGAAGGCTGTTGTCATGTACCTGGCCTCCCAGCACCAGCATCGCTGCAGCATTCAAGCGGGGAAGGATGGTGCTAGACAGATGCAGCGGCAGGAGTACCCAATTGACTCAGCTGGATTGCTGAGCTCCTCACCACCTTACCCTTTTCCCACCTTGCAAGTCATAGAAATTCTGGTGCCAGAAGGTCATGCATGTGCCACCACCCCTCAATCTGGCTTTAGAAGATCTTGGTTAGCTAAGTGGTATATCAAAAATTGCAAGAACAACAAACATATCCATTCTTAAGGAAATCAGCCCTGAGTGCTCACAGATTGTGAAGCTGAGGCTCCAATACTTTGGCCACCTCCTGAGAAGAGAAGACTCCCTGGAAAAGACCCTGATGTTGGGAAAGATGGAGGGCACAAGGAGAAGGGGACGACAGAGGACGAGATGGTTGGATAGTGTTCTCGAAGCTACCAGCATGAGTTTGAGCAAACTGCAGGAAGCAGTGGAAGACAGAAGTGCCTGGTGTGCTCTGGTGCATGGGGTCATGAAGAGCTGGACACGACTAAACAGCAACAACAACATATCAAAAATACCACCCACTGGATGAAATGAGAAATCCACCTCTTGAGTACTCAAGTCCTTTGTTAAAGGTAAAGATAAAGGGACCCCTGACCGTTAGGTCCAGTTGCAGATGACTCTGGGGTTGCAGCGCTCATCTTGCTTTACTGGCCAAGGGGGCCGGAGTACAGTTTCTGTCACACAAGTATTATTTCTTGTTGTATTACAGATACCTGTTGCTGCCGTTACACCGATGGCCTGGTCTACAAATGGTCGTGACCAGTGCTTCTGAACCAGGATCTCAGCTCCTCTGTTCTTATACTGCCTTATACTAAAGCACTGTTTACGGTGAGGTCTTTTTAAGAATGAGACAGCTCTCAAGGCAGCTTAATTGTGGGACTCCAATTGCCTTGGCAGGATCATATTTTACATTGCTGCAGTCCAGCTACCCTGGTCCTGATGGTTCTCCTTACGGAGCAGTAACAATGATGCTCTTTATGCTGGCAGTAGCATTTCCAGATGGTTTCCAGATCTAATTGTGAAAGCAAAATGGCTGGGAAGGAAGCAGGCAGAGAGAATGGTGCATTTAGCACTCAAGCACCTGCAAGGGCTAAAGCTGTGGCAATCTTCTCCATGGGAGAGGAACAACACCGGCAGGAACTCCATTTGTAGACCTTGTTCTTGTATTTGTTATATACTCCTGCTTATCAATTCATTCAAGTGTTTGGAAGAACCAACTGCTTCTCTTCCACCGTAAAGTCTCCTTTCTTTTTTCAAGAACACTTTCTTCACTAGATGACAATCATCCATTTAGAGGAAATGGGGAAGGACAGCTGGGCTTTCAACAGGTCTATCTGCTATCCTGTGTACACTTCCATGGGCGTAAGAGCCCCATCAAACACAGTGTGGGACTTACTTCTGAGTGAACATGCATGGACGGTAAGCAAGTTTATTACTTTATTGAGCAAACTTCTAGAAATCAGGAGGATAGCTCCTTCTGGCTTTGGCCCTAACTGTATAATTTAATCTCAGAATTCCTGGCAGCTTTTATGACAACAAAACTCTGCCCTATATTCCACTGGGACCGATGTATTATTCAGCGCATGCCTACAAGAAATAAATAGAAGCGCTGTGAAAAGAGCAGAGAAAACAAGCCATCACCCTTAGTTAAAGGAAAAGGAAGGAGGAGGGAAACTGTGTTTTTTATTTACATGCCAAATGGAATTTTCAGAAGTTATACATGCTGAATGCCAGAGCCCAGATGCAGAGATTGGCCAATACAAAATGTGCAGAAATACCTAAACAAGAACTACACACACACACACACACAATGAATCCACTTGCATCCTGTATTTCTCTTATATCAGAAAAGAAACAACAGCAATTTTTCATGAGAAGACATTTAGCCTGATCTGGCCTGTTGCACTTGGCTGAATGTACACACTGCAGGTCAGGAGGAGCCCTTGCTTATTAAGCCTCCCAGCCCACCACTTATTTACAGATAAGTCAAGGCAGTCAGCTATACATGGCAACAATGGGAAGAAAGGTGTGAGTGGTTCCATATCTTAGATCGGGGTGGGGAATATTTTTCAGACTGAGGGCCACATTGCCATCTGGGCGACCTTCCAGGGGCCACATGCAAGTGGAGGGCAGGGACAGAGGCAAAAATGGGCAAAGCAACAAATGTATGCATTACCTTTCCACAGTAGAACAGTGTCTAGACACGCTCCTCTCTATCCTCCAACTAAGCAAGGATGAGGCAAAAGCAGACCACAAGGATACAATTCAGCCAAGCAAAAACGTTCAAGGAGGATATGAAATAAGGCTGGTAAATGGTATTGCCTGGGGAGAGGGCGGTTGGCTGAGAAAAGGTGTGCTTTGGGGAGACTTCCAAGGGCCAGACAGAGAGGTTCTCAGCCTGAGGTTTTCTAGAAGATGGTGATGATATATTTGTATATTCAGCTCCTTATACCACAAAGTTCTCAAAGTGATTTACATCAAAACATATAAGGAAACATGCAAATGCATAAAGTGAAATGTGTTCACAACCTAAAAGTCCCAACAGTTAATACCCCCAACTTCACGCATGACACTCAAGGATCAGTGTTAAAATTAAGACAATCAGCTAAGCAGGACTATCAGACAGCAGGGGAGAATATTAATCATCAAATGCCTGGAAGCTGAGGAAAGTCTAGGCCTGGCTATGAAAAGATGACAGCACCAGTGCCAAGCAGTCAACACTCAAGAGCAACATGGATTTTAGAGCCATGCTACTGGTCATACACAGAGTCCTGTACATGACACCCCCTCCAATATATTGCCACAGCTTTCCAGTGCCTCCTTGCCTCTCTCTTGCTATAAGCCACTCAATGATCCAGCTTTGTGACACTCACTTTCACTCTTGACTACAAAGGGCAGAACTAGATGCAGGTAACAAAATCCCAACAGCCACTTTCGTTCAAGAGAAAAGCCACTTTGAGATGATTCGGGGCACTTTGGAGCAGGAAATTACACAGAAAAGTGCTCAAACCTTTCCCCACCTGCTGTTTTCCCCACAGGTTACTCCTTCTCCCTAAGCCTCTTTTCTCAGACACTCATCTGGAGCCTCACAAGTGAAAAAGAAGTCCGGAGATTGATTTTCAGTAGAACAGCAATGGGAGGAGAAGGTTTAAGCACTCTCCCCCTACTATTTATCCACTCTAAATCCCCCTGCCTCTTGAAATAGCCATCTGGGTTTTCCTGTACACATTTATGTACAATGTTCAGCTTCAACTTCAGGAAGAGAGTAATCACATTGAACTAGAATGGGCCTGGGACCCAGGTCAGTGCTGTTGTTGGATGATGTATAGTTCTCTTCTGCGTAGGCTTTTCCTGCAGTGGGATATGATCTTTGTTTGCACACAGAGGAAGCTGCCTTATACTGTCACACCACTGGTCCATCTAGCTCAGCATTGTCTACACCAAAGATGATCACTGCGGTGCTCTTCAGATGCCGCTAGACTACAACTCCCATCATCCCTGGCCATTGGGCCATATTAAGTCATGCTGAAGGGAGTTGTAGTGCAACAGTATCTAGGTGGCACTATGTTGACTAACCCTGGTCTATACTGACTTGCAGCAAGGCTTCAGTGTTCCTGACAGGGGTCTCTCCCAGGCATACCTGAAGATGCCAGGGATTAAACCTGGAATCATCTACATATGAAGCAGATACGCCACCACTGAGCTACATCATATTTTTCACCATCAACACACCTATACCTTTTTCCTTGTGTGCACACACACTTTGTTTCTTAGAATCACATTTCAGGAATGTTGACCACACTGATGCGGGGGGGGGGGAATCCATATGAATATTTATTGTGGTAGATGTGTCATCTCCAAGCTTCAACCACAAAGCCACAGATATGGACCACCTGAATGAAGCTCACAAACCAACGGTGCTCCACTGACCACAATGAACCCTGAAAGAAAGGGTGCCTTCAAACAGAGGACTGAGAACCCTTCAAGCAGAGGACTATCCCCTGTCAAGCAGGACACGTGTAGCCACCCTACATAGGTCAAAGAAGCCTCTTTCGTTTGCTCTCACAACAAGGATGTTCACTAACAACCTCTGAGCTTTTATCCCCGTTCTTCATTTGACTATTGATTCAGTACTGCACAAGACTGCCACTGGAGCAGCACAAATCTGTATAGAACGGCACATTTTCTGTAGGAAAAGCCCTGCTGCTATAAATATCACCCCTCCCCAAGGTGGCCCTGTAATCCACTGAAGGGGCATTACCTCAGTAAAGCCTTCCCAGCGAGGAATGCTGCAGCATGTTTCTTAACAGCAAGTAATTAGAAGAGAATGGAAAGAGAAAACAGAAACGACTTCAAAGATTAGCTCAGTTCCTTGTTCCATGTGTATCCTCCAGCCCTTAAAATGTCAACATAAACACACTGTGCGGCTACAGGAAAGACAAGCCCGCACACTGTTATTAATTGATTAAATCAATACCCAGTACAATAGGCAAAGAAATTCGATGTGTGTAAACAGCTGGCTTGAATCCAACCCAAAGAAAGACCCTGCTGCCCTCTGTGCTTCTCCTGGAACAAGACCAAGCACCAGAGAAGAAAGGTTTTAACATTCTTTTCTTTTCTAATCTCGACGTACCCCAGGCATCCTGCAAAAAAGAGAAAAGAACATGTACAAGCCATAATCAGAGTAGGTAAAGAAACAAACTGATTGTTGGAGACCTTGAAATTGGGACAGAGATCTGTCTGTAATCATAGTGAGGCTGCAATCCTGCCCTTGTTTTCCTGACAGTAAGGCCCACTGAACAGAGGCGCCATAAGATTGGCGGGTGATGCTGCGTGATGCCATGCATGTGATGCCACAAGGAGCCGAGGGATGGAGCTGAACACCTTTTGAATATTGAGGGGGGCTTGGCCCCTAAAACTGTGACGGTGCCCATTGGAATAAATAAGGCAGAAGGCAGGGAGATCAAGAGGAGGTGAAGCCAATGGCAGGCAGAGCCACACAGTTCTGATTTCTCCCCATCTTCCTCTCTGCTGAGCGGAAGGGAGGCAATGCTGAGATAGAGGAGGAGGAAGCAGACAGGCAGTGCCGCCCCTTGGACTGGTTGTAAGTCAGAATGCAGACAAGTGGAGGCTGACTGATGGCAGACTGATATTGGCAGGGCAGTGCCCCATTTCCCCAAATGGGCAACCCTCCACTGGTTCTACTATGGCTATGGTGGCTATGTTCTGCCTCCATGGGTGAAGGCAATAATGCTTACCAGTTTGTGGGAACCACAAAAGGGGAGAGCCAGTGTGGTGTAGTGGTTAAGAGAGGTAGTCTCGTAATCTGGTGAACCGGGTTCGCATCTCCGCTCCTCCACATGCAGCTGCTGGGTGACCTTGGGCTAGTCACACTTTTTTGAAGTCTCTCAGCCCCACTCACCTCACAGAGTGTTTGTTGTGAGGGAGGAAGGGAAAGGAGAATGTTAGCCGCTTTGAGACTCCTTAGGGTAGTAATAAAGCGGGATATCAAATCCAAACTCCTCCTCCTCTTCTTCTTCTTGCGCTCGGGTCCTGCTTGCAGGTTTCCCACAAAGATTGGGTCGGGCACTGTGAGAACACGGTGCTGGATTGGATGGGCCATTGGCCTGATCCAGCAAATTCTTCTTTTGCTTTTATGTTCTCGTGCTTAAGATTATCGAGGGTGGGGGACCTCTGGCCCTCCCATCACCCCCAGCCAGCGTGGCCAATGATCAGGGATGATTGGAGCTGTAATCCAGCAATCCCTCCCAACTCGACAATTCTGTGATTCTGTAACATCTGAAGAGCCACAGGCTCCTCATCCTTGAGATATACCAGCAAGACCCCATTAAAAATGGAACTACACATGATGTATCCACACCTTCAAACACAGGTAGTAATGCAGCAGTGAAGCAGTGAAGGGATGAGTGACTTCCAGCTGAGAAGTGGGAGTGAGTTGCTGAACCCTGTTCTCTCCTCCAACAATATTCCCAACCCAATACTCTTCTCCCCACCAGCTGGACGAAAAGCAAAGTGGGGGAACGTTTGTAAGGAGGAAGCCGCAGGGAGAGGTAAAATCTAGGGTGTTCCTTCCTGCTTCCCCACTTAAATGTTTGAGTAGTTCAATGTATGCTGTTTTTACGCCAGCATCGCTCCCCAGGCATCCTTCTCAGCCTGCCTCAGGAGTGAAAAAGATGCAAAACCAAGATGAAATGAACACTTTAGAAAGATCATTAGCATGAGGCTTAAGTGCTATGCAGCAGCACGAAGAGTGAGGATATGCATCCTCCTGACCAGGGGTGCCTCCATACATTAGAAGTTGGAAATGATTGACAAATACTGGACTGCTCTGTTAGCGGGTGGCACTGAGGTCTAAACCACTGAGTCTCTTGGGCTTGCTAATCAGAAGGTCGGCGGTTTGAATCCATGCAACGAGGTGAGCTCTCGTTGCTCTGTCCCAGCTCCTGCCAACCTAGTACAGTGGTACCTTGGGTTACAAACACCTCAGGTTACAAACACTTCAGGTTACAGACTCCGCTAACCCGGAAGTAGTACCTCGGGTTAAGAACTTTACCTCAAGATGAGAACAGAAATCGCACGGTGGCGGCGTGGCAGCAGTGGGAGGCCCCATTAGCTAAAGTGGTACCTCAGGTTAAGAACGGTTTCAGGTTAAGAACAGACCTCTGGAATGAATTAAGTTCGTAACCAGAGGTACCACTGTAGTTTGAAAGCACACCAGTGCAAGTACATAAATAGGTATCGCTGCAGCAGGAAGGTAAACGGTGTTTCTATGCACTCTGGCACTTGTCACGGTGTCCTGTCATGACAGAAGCGGTTTAGTCATGCTAGCCACATGATCTGAAAAGCTATCTGTGGACAAACGCCGGCTCCCACGAGCAAAATGAGTGCTGCACTCCATAGTCACCTTTGACTGGATTTAATCATCCAGTCCTTTACCATTTACCTTTTTTACCCTTGCTTTATTCAGTTGGAACTGAGGTGGATGTTTTTTTGTGTGTGTGGCAGCACACACAATGTGCTGCCAGTGCCAGAGGGGCAGGAAGCAGAAGAGAGCTCAGGGTACTTTAGATCTCATTTTAAAAACACACACTAGTAAGATTTAGGTGAACACTACATCAATTTGTCCCTCTATATGGTAGACCAGGGATGTGCAATGGATCCAGCTGGTAAACCACATCCTTACTTAGCAGATCGTGTGCAGACCAAGTTTGACAGGTTGGCAGGGGGAGGCACCTGTAACTCACCTGAGGTCACAATGACCAGGTGACCCATTTTCCTTTGCCTGCAAAGGGCCACCAATCAGCTGATCAGCAGTGCCTGCAAGCCCCATTTTTGCCCCACCTGCATTTTTTCCTGCCCCACACCTGATAGCAAATATGGCTTGGCTGAAACAGCCTCCTGGGCCAAATGGGGAGGCCTGGTGAGCCTAATTAGGCAAATGGGCCAGAGGTTCCTCACCACTGTAGTGGATAGTATCAGAGGAAGCATGCCCACTATCATGCCACCCTCTGGCTCCCTTGCTATGGCAGAACCACCAAGAATATAGGAAGCAGCCTCACAGTAGTCAGCCCATGGTTCCTCCAAGCCAGTCGGAGTGCTGCTGGACTACAGTTCCCATCATCCCTGACCACTGGCCATGCTAATTGGGGTTGATGGGAGCTGGAGTTTGAATCTTCTAGAGAGCACCAAGTTGGGGAAGGCTGGTCTAGTTCCTTATTGTCTACTTCAACTGGCAGTGGCTCTCCAAAGCATGCATCAGAGAGGGGTTTTCCCTAACCCTGGGGCCTTTAACCCCTTAACTAAAATGGAAAGGACTGGACCTGGCAGAGTGGGAGGAGAGAAGAAACTGAGAGCAAAACCAAAGTCACAGGAGATTCTGAAAGAGATAAAGTTATATCAAGTACAATATATGAAGTTGATGAATCAGGAAATAGAATGGAAGATTAAACAGATGAGGCAAAAGACATTTGAATCTGCAAATAAGTGTGGGAAATTGTTGGCCTGGCAAATGAAAAAAAGTAAAAAACTCAATACTATTACGAACTTGGAAGTGGAAGGAAAGAATATACAGAACCCAGTGGAGATCAGGAAGTGTTTCCAGAAGTATTTTAAACAACTTTATACACAGGAGAAGCAGAAAGAAATCGACATTGATCGATTTTTGAAATTAAATGGACTACATAAAATCTCTCAGGAAAAACAGCTAATGTTGAACTATAAAATAACGGATCAGGAGGTGGAAGGGGCCATCCAGAACATGCAATTAGGTAAATCTCCAGGACCAGATGGTTTGACTTCAAGATATTACAGATCCTTGAAAGAATGGTTAATACAACCATTGAAGGAAGTTTGTAATGAAATATTGAAAGGGAGAAAGGCACCAGAGTCGTGGAAGGAAGCTTACATTACACTTATACTGAAAACAGAGACTGAAAAGACACAGCTCAAGAACTACCGCCCCATATCACTGCTTAATGTGGATTATAAATTTTTTGCAGACATTTTGGCTAAAAGATTAAAAAAGGTGTTAGTAGAAGAAATTCATAAAGACCAAGCGGGCTTTCTCCCGGGCAGACATTTGTCTGACAATATGAGGAATATAATTAATATTCTAGAAAAACTTCAAGTGAATATCAATACTAAGGCAGTCTTGATATTTGTGGACGCAGAGAAAGCTTTTGACAACATT